AATATTCTTAAATTAAAGGCTGATTTTCCTCTGAATATCAAAAAGTAGAAGCATACACATTCAGCCATAGAGTTGTAGTTATATATACATAGTCAAAGGCAGATGCACTTCTTGCAAGGAAAGTCTTTTGGTTTGGTTTTAATTCAAATTGGAAAATCTGGAAAACGTAGCGTGTTTCTATTGCAGTTTGAATTGAAAATAAGTAATTCTTAGGTGGTAATTGTGATCCTCAGTATTGATCAGTTTATAACATAAGGGCTTTTAGTAATTTTTTTATACTGGCTGCAGTAATTTAGGGTTCATTTCACTCCCACTCAGCTATCTAACACGTTAAGCATGCCTAAACTAGTCATTCCATCTCCTCCTTCAAGAAAAACAGAGCTATGAGCAATTCCAGAGATCGGTTCATCTCACCTACCTTAAATAACTGCCTTAACACGGGATGCATCACACCCTGGGGCAGCTTAGTTTTCTCCGGCTCGCCTTTTTCTTTAATCCAGTTTGGCCCTTAGTTTGCAATGTCGATCAGATGCACATTTATATCAAATCAGATTAAAGGCCTTTGTTACTGTACACTAGCGTTAAAGGACAACTTTTGAGATGCACAATTGAGAGTAAAAATAAGCAACTATTTCTAAGTAGAGTGAAAAATCTACCAAAAATTAAGAAATGTGGCATAAGAGTTATGAGCGCTGCTTCATTTTGAATGTTTTTTCAAAAAATACATAAAAGTTTTTCTCATAAAAACATAATTTGAACACGCTATGGCAATATATACAAACACACATACATATACACTCCTACAAGACATTAGATGTTTAACTGCTGAAGCTGCAGCTCTGAGCTACCTACCTCTCTCCACCGTGGTGAGGCTCCAGAGCCGGCTCCTTAAAACACCGTGATTGATGGCACAGTATTTTAAGGCAGACCCAAATCGGTGCAGGTTAAATTCAAACACTACGCGGCAAACCGCTGCAGCCTGGGACCTGACTGGCAAGGCGAGGACCTGGGGACACGCGGCACGCTAAAGCATCTTCACTCCTCGGCCACAGCCAGAGGCTGTGGTGTCCCCGGGAAGGTGCTGCCCATCGGCAGCGTGTTGGCACTACTGCTTCAAAAACCCCACGCCGTCGTGAGTAAAAGCACCCCTAAAACTTTGCAGGTGCCCGTCACATCAAAGACCTCAGCGTATTTCGTCACGTACTAAAAATGTCCATGGACAAGGATGCAAAAAGGGGATAATACCTATGAAAAGCTCCATAGGGTGGATCTGGCCATATTTCACATGATGTACGCAATTCAGATCTTACCAGATCACAGGCACCTTTCTTAAGAAATAAGATTCTCTCTTATCCGCTTTGAGGCTGAGGGAATTGGGGCTTTTTAGTCTGGAGAAGAGAAGACTGAGGGGGGATCTTATCAACGCTTATAAATCCTTAAAGGGAAGGTGCCAGAAGGATGCGAACAGTCTTTTTTCAGTGGTGCCCAGTGATAGGACGAGGGGTAATGGGCACAAACTTGAACATAGGAAGTTCCATCTAAACATGAGGAGGAACTTCTTTACTTTGCGGGTGGCAGAGCACTGGCACAGGCTGTCCAGAGAGGCGGTGGAGTCTCCCGCACTGGAGACATTCCAAACCCTCCGGGACACCGTCCTGTGCAACTGCTGTAGGTGACCCTGCTCTGGCAGGGGGTTGGACTAGATGGTCTCCAGAGGTCCCTTCCAATGCTGACCACTCTGTGATTCCTGTGTATAAAGGAGATTATCTGGAGTAGCAGAAAGGAATTGTGAAAACCATTGGTCCAGATAAAGAACGTATTTGCTGAAGGAAGGGGGGACCCTCTGGCTCCCATCCAACAGCCCCCGGAAAGCCACAACAGACTCCTGGGCTGGGAGGGGATGGCAGGGACAGACCTGAAGCACGTAGCACCAGAGGGCCATGCTGTGCAGGCTTCAGAAATCAAAACGTTCCCCCTCTGATAAAATTATGCCTTAGGCCACTTAGCAGCCCACATCAGGAGGTGCAAAGATAGGTCAGCATCTTTGGAGGCTTCAGATGCTGAACTGTTGCTCTTAGAGGGGTTGTACTGAAGCTTGTTGACAGTATTTGCTGCTCACATAAAATGCTCGTTTCTGTTGCCTTTGGTGATGTTTCTGCCTATAACCCAGAAAAGCAATAAGGTCAAAGAAAAACAGCAGCACCCACCCAGACAAAAAGAACCAAAAGTTTTGATAGAGTCCAGTGGATAAAAAGGTGCAATAGGCAAGGCAAAAGAAAAAAGAAAACAATTCAAGATCACTAAAATTCTCCACAGAAGTAGCCTTATTGCTCTGACTACTACATGCCTTACTAAGAAAAATTACATGTAAGGTTTATCCTCTATTCTAGAAGAATTTCCTTTACTACTGAAGACAATACTTTTAAAGAAGTCTCAAAAAATAACTCAATGCTTTTAGAAAAACATTTTCTCACCTGTTTTTCCTCCATTTGTAAGGATATGCATCACTTCCAGGTGTAATAAAAATCCTTAACACTGACTTTTAAAATACAGTGGAAACCCAATTACATTGTTTTGTATTGTGATTGTATGTGCTAAAGAAACTCAACCTGAAATAATAATCCCTGTGCATTTTCAAAAAAAAATATGTTTTTTATTTTGCAGGTACTTTTTTTTCTTTTTCTTCCTTAAATATACAACATCACAATCAATGAGTCATAGGATTTCACTGGGGACAAATTAACCTCTTACATGAAATAAAATGTGGTCATTGAATCAGGCTTCAGAAACTCTTCTAAACTTTAAAGTCCACAACAGGAAAACAAAGCATCATTCAGTTATATTTACAGAGCCCATTTATTTCTGCAGGTTAACACTGCCTACCCATTTAAACTTTCGAGGGATGTGGCACAACGGGAGTGAATTCGTGGAATGAAAGAGTTGGTGCTGAATACCTGGCATCCACACTATCAGTCGAGTAGCTTTGGAGTAGCTCTGGTGGGATCCTGCACACTCAGCATCCATTAGCAGAGGAGTATGTTAGGTGCGCTCCCGGAGGGCGTCAGGCAGTTTATTTTTATCAGAGAGAAAATGCAGTTTGTGTACTCTGAAGATGCTCCACGATGACACAGGTCAAAACCCTGTGAACTGGGACGGCAGGAGATGGCCTCAAAAGCAGAATTGTGACCCAAATGTAAATACTAATTAAACACATGCACTGTCAACATAAAAATCTCCCTCAAAATGTTTGCCTAGAAGAGTTTCAAATAACATCTTGAAACTGTAAACAGAAAACATTTAAAGAAAAAAATGTTTGCAAAATGTTTTCTGTCTTACATTACTGCTCTTTACATATTCAGTTACTCCCATTTCCCCACTTCTATGAAATTTCACCATAGAAATACAAGAAAGAAAAACATGTATAAATTTAAGACATTTTACTGTACACCCTTAAAAGGGTAGATATTCTGGATATATACAACAAATATACAATACACAGTCTCCCTTTACTGTAGTGGTCTGGCTACTAGTTGTGCTTTTCTCCCAATTTCGGAAGTTTAATGTTGCTTAGTTCCATAAAAGTTTTCATGAAACATATGACTTGCTGATAGCAAACAGCTCGAAAAGTAGTGCATTCAATATTTAAGCATTATATTCTTAACAGACTGATAACAAACCTTAATCTTAAGGTTGAGTAGTCTTCCACTAACAATATAAAACTGGATTCCCAAGCATTAAAAAATTTCTTTATCTACAACTTTCTTAATAAAAAGGGCAAAACTTCACCTTATATTTGAGCCAAATCTCAGCTCAAACATCATTCTGAAGATGAATTTAATTTGGTTTTACCAGTTTTTATGGCCTTTCTCTGTTTCTGCTGAGATGAAACTGGAAAGAAGACGTTGGCAGAGCACCTGTTCCTTGGGGTTTCAAAGCCCGGTTAATTGGCGTGTGCTTGAATGAAAAGCAGATTAGGCGCATATCCTACTCAAATCAACAGATCTGTTGTAGCCTGCCTTATACCTTATTTATAAAAAAGTATTGCATTTATTGCCATGTCTATACAGTATTCCCACTGGTGACTATTATTCATTTCTGCCCACCGACGATGATATAAAACTTAAAAATCAGGATTGCCTGGCTGATAACTATAGATGCACATGCTTCCAGATAGAAAATATTCACAGAGCATCGGAGGTCACGTTCAAATGTTTTGACTCATTTGAAGGTGCTTACTCAGTCGCTGTATTTCCTATACATATGTACACAAAGAAACATTGGTAAAAACAGTAATCATTTCCAGACTGGTATAAACTTTAACACGTATGAAATTACTGCTCCCAGGCTAAAATCTTCCTGCCCCACTGGCCGAAATACTAATTCTCGGAAGATGTTTCCATCAGCTATAGCATAACAACTCTGGAATGAATAAACCTTTGACTTGCCACCACAAAGGTGTGGAAAATGCGTTGTGCTTCTGCATCAGTGTGCTGGTGCTCCCAGTGAGCCAAAAGAAGTCAAACTGGGCTGCCAAATGGAGTGACAGGAAGAACATTAGTAAGTGAAACTCAGCAGCTTTATCTCACCCTTTCTCTGGTGAGAATTGGGTTCTTCGGGGACAGCAAGCAGGATACATTCTTCACAGTACACCTGACTATTACTTACACATTGCTTAAACCTATTTTCAGTGAAAATGCAACCAAAATCCTAGTTCAATGAACCTACAGTTTGTTAAAATATGACACTGTAACAAAAGAAATAGTGAAGAGACGAGTTCCCTCATAGCACAGGTTCTGGCTTTCTACATATAAACCAACCACGTTAAAAAAAAATAATAAAATTTTCAACATCAAATACAGTTCTGGTAACTGACTTGCTCGGTATCCATCTCAGCTGTGACTTCTTCCTCCAGTTTGCAGGACATTCGGTGGGGGGTGAAGTCTCCCTACCCTCTTCCTCAGGTTGAAATGAAACACCAAGCCAAAAGCTGTACATGAAGATCATGATTTCTGGTCTTCCTCTGATGGGACAACTTCCAAGAGGATTTGTAATGTTAGAGTTACCCTGTCTGCAAAGATAAAAGCATACGCATGGGGAATTTTGGTGAGGATGGAGAAGGCAGAAGCGGCCAGGAAAATTATCTTGGCTGCTGTACAGCTTACTTGCACACACAGTTCACAGTGGTCATATATACCAGGTGCATATATCATTTAAACGTCTCAATCAATTTTTTTTAAACTATGTTTTCTTTACCTCTGATCCAAGGCTATGCATATACAGCAATAATGGAAAGGTATGAAGGTATGCACTTGTTCAATAAAGATCTACATGCATTTAAAGGCTATTTTAAATCACGACTACTCTGCAGAACTGCCCAGTTTTAATGAAGTTGCAATGTTGAAATAAAAGTCTAAAAGAGTTCCACCAAGCTAATTCAGCTGTGCTAAGATCTGCCTAAGAAAAAAAAAACAAAAACAAAAAAACCTAACACAACAACAACAACAAAAAAATTAAAATAAAAGGAAACAATGCTTACAAAGCTTCACAGGCCTAAGAATGTCACGCATCCAAAGCAACTTCACGCTGTCTTTTTGTCTCTCTGGACATTTATTTCCCTCTGGCGTTTTTGGTGGTTTTCTTTTTAGGGTACAGATTTATAAATGGCACAGTTAATTTACGTATAGAATGGTAAAAGAGCATTCTCTTGCCACTCATTTCGCTTTTCACTTTTTTTTTTTTTTTTAGTAACCCATTTTAAACAAGCAGGAGCCGTTGTAAGAGAAAGTTCTGATTTTCCTTGTCTAGCATGACACGTCGGCATTTGCAGCCGTGTAAAGCGAGGAGGGTAAAACACTGCAACTCACAGAAGATATCAACTGAAACTACTTTCCTGCTTTCCCGTCTAAGGCAGAGTCCACCAGTTTTTGCTCTTCTCTCTGGAGGTCACCAGTTCAGTGCAAAGCCAGGTTGCCCTTAGACTATAAACTGATGGGGTCAGAGAGGCTGAGAGTCAACAGGGACCGCGTTTTCCTCCTGTCTCCCTCCCCTCCCCGCAGCGGGGACTTCAGAGCTGGGCTGAGCACGGTCAGGGTGAAGGGCAGGAGGAAAGCCAGCAGCAGGAAGCCGGCAGGACTTCGCCCCTGCCATCCCTCCCCTTCCAGGTTGGAGGCTGAGCAAAGGAAGAAGAAAGAAAGCAGATTTTCTGTCAAGCTGAGCTACGGTGTAACAGCTCTTGGAAAAGGGCACGGCGGCAGAGGGAAAGCCCGGGCATCTCGGGAGCTGGCTGTGATTTTAATACTTTGTTCGACAAAGTGGACAGAGCCACCTGCAGCGAGCCCTTGCCCTCGCTGGGGCGGGAGGCGGTTGTCACTCTTCCATTTCCATGGGGTAGTTTTTGCTCTGTGCTGGGATGAAGCCATGGAGGAGCAATCAGACAAGTTGAGGCGGGGGGGGTGCTGAGGTCCTTGCTTGTTTATTTTGGTTGCAATATACTCGGGATAAGACAGCGTAAGGAGTATTTTCCACCCAAAAAATGTTCCAGTCTGTCTCCAGTCAGTATCTTTATATTACCTGCTTGGGGCAGTACCTGGAGTTACAGGACTGGCTTCACATTTGTAACAAGACAACTTAACGTATCACGACAGTAAAGACGACTTCCCCGCACACACACTTTGAACTCTGGTTTTCCTTTTCAAGAGGAGAATTCACTGTAAATAGGTCTCGGGGGAAGACCTTTCCAAAAAACTTACACCTCATATCTAGATATGCGCCACATAAAGCTTGGGTGAGGAAGGAAAGGAGTCATTTACTGCATATGTAAAGACTGGACATGAAATCTGCAACAGCAAAACGCTGAGATGATTTCCTGCGGATCCAAACATCTCAAACTCAACAAAGAGAAGCAAACCGAGCTTATAACACTGTGTCGTGAGTGAGCAAGTGTCATCCTCTGGTGTTTGTAAATAACCCTGAAAGAGACATTTTGTTATATAAACAGATCTCTCTTCCAGCATGGGCTCAAGCTATAACTTTCAAGCTCCTCGCAATTCCATCCACTGTAAAGGAGTAGATGTTCTAAATATGAGGCTAAGGCTGGGTTTTCAACTGAGGAAGCCCAAATGGAAGCATTGTGGTGTTGGTGCCACATGCTTTTACACGCTGGTCTGCTTCGTAGGATTTGCTAGGCTTGACTTTTTTCATTTTCACGTTAGTTCTACAAAAAGCAAGAAAGCGGAGGTCGAACGAAGCCTGTACTAGCTGAAAATTATGCGTCCCAGCACTTCTGGTGCTACAGCAAAATTTCATTGGAAGAGGAGAGAATAAAATGTCATTCTCATGGCAAAATACCACCCAGACCCTATTAACCCCACAAAATCTGAAGTTACCTTTTGTTCAACACAGTGATTTGGTAAAGAGAATGGGCAATGTAAATGCCAGGACATTCAAAATGTACAGAGCAAAGACATTCAGGGAGAATGGGCAATGTAAATGCCATCAAGGACAGTCAAAATGTACAGAGCAAAGACATTCAGCCTTAGAGAGGATTTCATAGAATCATTGAATTGTTTTGGTTGGAAGACACCTTTAAGATCATTGAGTCCAACCAATACTCTAGCACTGCCAGGTTACCACTAAACCATGTCCCTCAGCACTACATCTGCACATCTTTTAAATACCCCCAGGGATGGTGACTCCACCACTTCCCTGGGCAGCCTCTTCCAATGCTTGACAACCCTTTCTGTGAAGAAATTTTTCCTAAGATCCAATCTAAACCTCCCCTGGCACAACTTGAGGCCGTTTCCTCTCATCCTATGGCCTGTTACTTGGGAGAAGAGATTGACCCCCACCTTGCTACAACCTCCTTTTTCAGGCAGTTGTAGACAGTGATAAGGTCTCCTCTCAGCTGCTTTTTCTCCAGGCTAAACAACCCCAGTTCCCTCAGTCGCTTCTCCTAAGACTTGTGCTCTAGACCCCTCACCGACTTCATTGCCCTTCTCTCTGGACAGGTTCTAACACCTCAATGTTTTTCTCATAGCGAGGGGCCCAAAACTGAACACAGTATTCCAGGTGTGGCCTCACCAGTGCCGAGTACAGGGGGACAATCACTTCCCTACTCCTGCTGGCCACATTATTTTTTGGGTAATCCATTCGAGGGCTCTGCTACTGTTACCAGCTTGAAACCCCTTTCACGGACGTACTCATCTTCAGGCTGGGTCTTTTATCCCACTACTCGTTCTGGGTGTTCAACATCCCTCTCCTCTGATCCTTACAAAACTGGTTCTGAATATCCAGTCTATTCCCACACGGGGCTGGTCTGTCCCCATGTGGTTTTGCACCAGTGCTGTCCTTTACTTAAACAGCACTCGTTCCACGTAGGGTTTATGAGCAGCAGTCGTCTCTCACCTCTGGAGGACATCTGGGGAGCTGAACAAGCCAAGTTCCCCAAGAAGGTGACTTGGTGGCAAATGGGCAAAGAGAGCCCCACACCACCCTGTTTGTGCGCTGAGCTGCACAGGTGAAGCAGCCTGGGAACAGTCTTGTTAGCACGGCGCCATGTTCAGACTAACAGGCTCTGACCCGCCCTGTGCTACGACACGAAAAGCTTTGTTGAAGTCTACGTAGATTGGATCTACCACGTTCTCCTTTGTCGAGAAAAAGTCTGGCAAAAGTCTGCCTCTTAAATGACAATCACATTTTTTTCCTGTTGTTCATTTACCTCGTGTCTGGAATCACACTTTCATGCCTTTGTACACCTAATGCGTATCGTTTCAAGGTTAGAACGTCAAGCTTGCAGCTGGCCAACGACTTTCCTATATCTCACAGAGGTACCTTAAGTGAATTTATCCTCATTTAATGCCTTTGAAAAATGCTCTCAGGCTATACAGCGGAGCTCCCTTAACGCTCACAAAATAACGCCAGTTTAATGACTCCACACAGAAGGTTTATTGCTGCTTCTGAGGAAAAAAAATAATAAACTTTTTATTTAACAAGTAAATCTCAACTCTGCTCCACCCCAAAACTGTCAGCATCAGTTTTTCGTTATTACTGTTGTTATTTTGGGAATAGTAATTACAAAGCAAACAAGCTGTTTCACCCACTGACTGGCATCCGCTGCTGTCCCCTCCGAGCCAGTACGCCGTGTCCATCGTAAGGTATTACACAGGCACTGGGCCTTCTTTCTGGGAGGAGAATTTTGTGTTATCTGAAAAGCTAGAAGATTCACCTTCATTGTCACAGCTGGCAGAAAAAGCTTCGCATCTACCCAGTCTACCTTAAAGAGAATATTTTTTTTTCTCTCGCTCAAGTAATGTAGTTCAACACTGGCATCCTGTGGCCAGAGATTCAAGTAACTGTATTCCAAAACCTCAGAGACTTCACAGAAAATGCCAAAAATCTCCTGGGTTTGATAAGGGAAAATTTCCTAGTCCCTAAATGTCAAGGCTGAGAAATTATAAACAGACAAAAACCTCAACTATTTAATAGAATGTCCTTTTACATACAACTGTTTTTGTTTGCTTTCTACCCATTCCCAGGACATTGCAAGTAATTTATAACTTTATGGAGATAAAATTAAGAAGACCGGAGTGTGCTAGCCTTAAACTAACATCTTTTTCTGTAAATTCTTTCTGCCCTATTGTCTATGGACTTTCCAGCACGAATTAAGAGGGAAAATCATAGATCCTAAAACAGATAGGATATAACTATATAACCTGTATTTATATAGAAAAAATACATATAAAAGGTTATAGTATAACATACATATAAAAACCCAATTCTTTTATTGTGAGCAGCTCATCTTAAATCATCCCTTAAGACTGAAGTACAGAAGACAGTATGTATTTTTGATTCAGCACCTATACAAATAAACTATTTTTAGTTGAAAACTCTCATGGGTTGGGTTTTTCTTTTGCAGCAGAAGAGCTTTTCTTTCAGTTTTGTTTAATAAATTAACCATAATTCCTCAAGTATTTTGTTTATATTATTGTTTCATGTTTTGAAAATTACCTCCATTTTGGAAACCTATCATGCTGAGTGACAAAAAAGAGAAGAATGGGGGAGCTGTAATAAATGATACTGACTTCTTTCTAATCGAAACGTTCCAGATAACCCTTCTCCAACATATCAGAACTTCCAGAAATGCTTTCAAAAAATTTCAGAAATTGTATAGAAATTATTCTCAGTGTATTTACGTGTGAAATACTAGAGCCAAGTTACTCAGAAGTCATTTTTCATATGAAGCACGGAAACAATTTCCACAGAGGTGTGTCAAGCACAGTGTATTTTGCTATAGTTTTGTTGGGACCCACCACTAAGGACAATATCCCCATAGTGAGCCCAATGGCTCCTGCCCCATTCCAAATACTCCACAGACGTGTGGTCTCAGCAGGGAGCACTGAGCCCATCCTGTCAACACAACCGAGATGTTTAATTTTCCAAACCGATTCTCCTGGGAGAGAAATACTTGGCGTAGGCCAACGGCAAGGGAAGGGAGATGGGTGATTTAAAAGGAAGCAGATGTTTGTAGGGGAGGGAGGGGAGAAGGGGGCGGGGGAGAGGCATCCATCCACTCATTTAAAGTCAATCGCTAGCCAAAGAATAGGCTTGCTGTAAACATACCTCGTTAGTTAGCAGACATTGATTGTAACTGGCAGAGCAATGCTATAGCATGCGCCGAAAAGAAACTTGCATTGTCATCCCCAGCTCAGAGCAGCCGAGAGGATCGATCGGGAGGATTTCACAACACGGCGAGCCCTGGGAAATTCCCAGAATCAGCACAAAGGAGAGGAGTCCCACCGGGACTTACCTAGGAGCTTTCTGAACCATTTTGGCTTCTTGTCCCAGACAATAAAGAGGTAGTAGGCAGGAACTCCAGTCAGGGTTATTGCAAATCCAATCCCTGTATTCACTGGATCAGAGTAAAGTGACAGTGCAACCATGAAGAGGCAGGTGAAGGAAAACAATGCTGGAATAAATAGAGGCACCTGAAACATAACCACACAAAGGACCATTACTTTACATTGACCTTGTTGAATGACTCTGGCATTTAACGTTCCATGACACATAAATTGGATAAAACCCAGCGGTACAGGATAGTTCTGGAGAAATATGGGTATCTAGAACATGCACACAAAATGTCAGTGACCGCAGAAACCAAGCTATGCAGAGTGCTATGCAGTGAGTACCACAGAAGTCTTTTAATTACATACTAAACCACTACAGTGGTTTATGTCCTTTAAAATGTAAGGGCTGTAAATAAGTTACGTTGCAAAAGTCCTTTCTCTAATTCCCCGGTAGATAAGTAAGCAGCACTAACCGCAGTAACGATTTCCTCTTTGATAATTACCTATTAGAAAACATTTTAAAACACAACCAGGAGCTCAAGTCACCTTTTAAAACTATTAAGAACGTATTGATTTTCTTCCTAAGGTAAAAATCAAAATCAAGCAGGAAGAGAGCAAATTAAACACCAATTTGACTAGTGATAAAGATATTTGATAGCATTATGCAACTGATAGCTACTGAAAAAGCACTTTCTGACTTGTATGACTGATAGCATTATCAGTGTCACTGTTGAAAGCACAAAAAGGAACAATATCAAATTAGTTCTCTCAATTTTCAAGTACACCACTACAATCACTGTGTTAGCACCTCTCTGAAGGAAACGCCTACAGGCATGGCTTGTGAGATGTTCGATGAAACGGGAGAATCGGAGAATTCCTTGGAGACTGTTCTCTTCCTTTCATGCCTGGAAGCATTACTGTTCCTCTTTTGTGCACTGTCAAAGCATTTATTTTTTTTAATCGCACCAAAATAGGTTGTGCTGTTGACCTTCTTATTTACAGATATACCTACAAGAATGCAACAGCACACATTCTCAATTCTTCAAAAAATAGGCTTCCCAGCAATATATAAATAGGGATAGATTCCTCTATTTTTTTCATGACGGACGTTATCTTTCCCGATACACAATGGGACAAGAGACTTTCGAAGATGTTACTTGAAATAAGTAAGAAGCATGGCAGAACCGTGGCCAAAACAGCTACTGTTCAACGGGCATTTTCTTTCTGGGTTCACAGTAACTGTGTCTGCAAATCCATTGCAAGTGCCAAATACAGAAATGGCACTAACAACTTATTTGCACATCAAATCGGCATATTTGATACTGGATAGGCAACGAAATAAATGTTTGACAGCAATGCTTACGCTTGACATGAATTCTGGTTGCAAAATTATTCAGGCCTTTATCAAAGGGGACATTAAATAGAGAACTGGCTGAAAAATCAGGTTGGCACGTGTAACCCCAATATTTGCAGTTCGAACCTCATGTGACTACACAGGACTAGAGGTATTTTCACGCTGCCTTGATGTGACAGATGGGCAAAACTGAGCAAACACCTTCATTTTGGCACAGCAGCTTCAGTCGCTGCACCCCAAGCACCGGGGAATAGGCAAGAATTATCTTTCATGAGGGAACGCAGGAGGGAGCTTGCAGAAAAACACTCGGAGACCCTTCAGTGCAGACAGCTATTTTCTCTTAACTCTGTTTTTCAAGAAAAAAGAGGTTAGCTTTCTACATCAGAAAATGCTCCTTTACCGGCTGACTACACAATAGATAGGAAGGAGAAGGATTCATGTAAAACAGTAGAGAGCGGAGGTTACCTTGAAAGGACGAGGCATATCAGGACGTTTATATCGGAGATAAATCAACCCAGCAACTACTAGTCCAATAAAAAGCCACCTGGCAAAACTGAGGAAATTCAGGAGGCTGTAGAGATCCCCGTTGAATAACATTATCATTGTGAGAGGATGCTGCAAAAGAAATTCAGAGCGTAAGAGGGGTTTCGTGGATTATTTCACAGCAGCGATGCCAAATTTTTCCATGGGGACAAGCAGCACAGCCTTTTGCAGACACACCTGATGGCCACAGACTTTGGTTCTGCCTTTCTCACGCCAACCAGGTGTGGGATCAATACCTAGCTGTCCCCCAACATCACATTTGATCAATATATGTCTGTCCCAGGTGGCCACACTTGATCAATACATCTGTCCCCTGTGACCCAGAGAGATACACAGGTACACAGCCTGCTGCATCACCAAAATGCTCGAGCATCCTGGGCACCGTTCTCGCAGGACCTGAGAAATATATATGAGCCCACTGCAGTTTTCCTCGCTCATCACGGATGAAAATGAGAAGAGCAGTTAAATTTTGGTCACATCTGATCATACAAAAGGGGAGGTTTCTAGGGTGCCTTGTGGAAGGAAAAAGTCTTTATGGTCCTCCAGGCTGCAACAGGGGAACTCAGCAAAGAGGGCATGGTAAGGGGTAGCTACACATGATGGGATACCAGCTGGGCACACCGGGTTGCCACCAGCTTGTGTTTGCAGCCCGCCTTTCAGGCTTGCAGAGCGTAGACTTACTGCACATCGGCAATGCAAACATTTCTGAGCAGAGAGAAGCATTTAGCTGTCATTCAGGTGGTTGCTGAACGGCAAGAAGGAGAGAGGACACTAGAATAAATACATTTCCTCATTAAAAAGCTGTTCTGAGATACAAGGCTTCTGTGAGGCAGGCAAAAGCTTGTGCATAAACTAGTGTTGCACCTTAAATGATTAGCGTGGGATACAAGGATCTATTTCAGGGTAATCTCTGGACAAAAAGCAGAATATTTGCAGCTTGAATCAACTCTGCAGGGTAGCCCGCACTTCCCACGTGAGACACACTATGCCCACAATGACACAGTCCTTGCGTTTGGGGATGAAGGAATGAGTCAACTTCACTGTAGCCCTTACTGTTCCGCAAGAGGGAAGATCCCGGCAGCGACAGCTTCTCTAGGTTTATAATGAGGCAACAAGTGAAATCAACTGCATCTGCTGTGAAACCTGGGCTACATCTTTAGGTAAGGAAAACTAACTTGTATTAGTTATCAACACTCACAGATTCTCTCTCTTTTTTTTTTTTTTTTTTTTTTTTTTTAAGCAGTGAAGACAGCATGGATTTGAACCAGAAGGATCAAAATTTCAAATACGGGTTTCTGGCTTCCAACCTCTAATGACTTACAAAGTAAAGTTCTTTACACACAGATATTAAGTAAACTCCTTCCCTGTAAAGGTCAAAAGAAATTTTACCACTGAATTATATTGAGCAAGATTTCTTCTATATAGATTCAGCCCCTAAAAGCTTAAAACCTCAGTTATTAGCATGATAATGCAAGAAAGGGCCATGGACAGTGAAGGAGAGCTATCAATAAAAAAAAAAAATTAAAAAATTATTACCATCAGATTGTACACACACCTCTATGCTTTTTTGATCTAGGCTTTGAGCAACCTGGTCTAGCGAGAAGTGTCCCTGCCCATGGCAGGGGGGTTGGAACTAGATGATCTTTAAGTTTTCTTCCAATCTAATCCATTCTATGATTCTACGATCTATCAAATACCAAGACATAGATACATAAACAGATTTCTTAATCCCTAATTATTTATTTTTTTTGTTTAACAAGCCTCAAACACTGAACATGCTTATTTTCTCAGTTTCTCCACAAGAGCTCTTTCCATTCTTATAGCGTGTAGACCTTGGCAGGAGAAATAAAATAGGAAAATGCTAAAATGCAGGCTAATGATGCAGAATATATCCTGCAACTATTCTAACTGCAATAAGGTAAGGAAAAAAATATTATAGTCTCTGAAGGAAAGCCATCTTCATAAGGGAATCCAGCTTTTTCAAAGGAAATCAATGCACTGGTGTAACAGGACTGGATGTAATAGCAGAAAATGTCTTTCAGAAAAAAAATATAAATATTAATATATTTTGTGCATTTCATTCCACAGAAAACAGTCAATGCAATTTACCCCAAAGGTATGACTACTTCAGCCCAAAGAAATAAAATGCAAAGTAAATGCTTAAGTGAAACAAATTCTATTAAAACTTTTCACCGTAATTGCATTGCCTGATTTCAAAATTTGGATGTCTACAGTTGTGTGTGCACATGTAAAATTCAACACATCAGCTGGCACTTCAGAAGGGAGCTTATAGGCACCTATAGCAAAAACTGATTTAAATTCCAGTACGAGCATCTGGTCTTACTAGCGTACACTCGTAGATGCACACACGTCTTCTGCTGTGGCTAGAACTCCCCACAGATGCAGAGGTCTGTCCAGATACATTACAGTCATCGGTCCCAAAAGAGGGACTGGACACCCACGGTTGTGAAGACTGCAAGTTAAGTGGAAATCTTCTCGGCACTATGCAAACTGGGGTTTGAGGTCGGTATTTTGACATTTTGTCCTAACATTTTACTGTACAAATTAGTCTGCAACGCAAACACATGGCCAGCGTTTAGCTCTGCCTCTATTTTAGAAGTCAGTAATAGGATTTCCACTATAATACTGGTGGTTTTCCTTAGACAATTCACAGACTATTGCCCAGGCACACGTTCTCTCATTTTTTAATCACCGCTACACTGCACTGCTGAGGGTTCCCCTTCCATTATCTTAGTGCATAATTGTTTGCATTTTTCACTATAAGGTGGTATAATGAGCCTTTAGGGTGCTCCCAGATGCTGGTGTTTAGCTGCACTTTCAGCTAAATGAATCCCTTTTTTGTTTGTTTGTTTAAATGGAATTTGTTTCTCTAAAAGGGAACTAGCTTATCACTAGCAGGTCCTTAGAAATAAAGGGCAATAAGACATGAATCAGGCTGCAGCAATAGGCAGTCAAGTGCTACCGACAAGACGGCAAGAAGATGATAGAATAAGAACAACTCCCAAATCTCATTCCTCTCTTTACTGTCCTGTGCCCTGCCCAAAGCCCGCGTACACGTTAATAAATGAGACTCAAGCAGTGCCCAAATTCTGTTCGAATCCTCCAGAGCAAGCCTGTAATATGAATTCTTGTGCAGGAACATTTGTTTGTATGATTTACCAAAACAATGACAGCTGGCAGAGGAGTGTGCTTGCGGACATGAATCATGGAGAGAATTTCCGGAAGGTGACCCTCGCGGGATGCAACGAAGAACATCCTGGTGGGAAATAAATGTGGACAGACTTTAAATGCGCTCATTACTGTGACTAGGCAAAGCGGCTCATGAAAGTCACACAGCACAGCGGCACTTCTTAGGTTTGTTTGAGGTATGCTGAATGAAAAGACTAGCAGGAGAAACCCGTACACAGAAATCAAAGTAATTTCTGAACGCGTCCCCTCCTTACCTTACACTATGATGGGTATTTGGAATTAGTTAACATTTTCCCTCCAATTTCCTTCCTTCACGTGAAACAAAGCAGCCATTAATTAAGTGCTACACTCAGAGGGATTCATTTCCAAACCACTCAAAGGGTTTTAACAATAAGATACTAAATTGGACAGGAACAATGTGAGAAAAAGCCCCGCACCTGGTAAACAGTATAGTAATTTTTCATTTCCCACTAAAGGTATGAATCCTACTCTCCCTTCCCTTTGCTTTCTCACTTTCAGAGTATATCCCGTGCCCTCCACCCCCAGTAATATTAGCAATACCCACCTGGAGACCGCAAAAATGCCACCATTCATAGATCCAAAGCAGGAGAGAGCAACAAATACTGGCACAGCTAAAGAGAAGTTTCCCATTAGTCGTTCGGCAAAGGTCTGTTAGAGGAGAGAGAAACATACAGTGATTTTTCATAAAACATGAAAGTAATTTTGCTCTATTAACAAACTATTAATAGGTATGGTAAGTATTATTTACATCTCTTTTCTGCATCCCTCACTGAAAGTTGTGCTGGGCATTTGTTACCCCGTATTTTGGGACACCGAGGTTACTGTAGATGAAGTCTCCCACCCATGCTCCCGACTGAGCCTGGGAGATCGCCAGTTGAGGCAATGCTGCGGAGGTGGAATCAGGCCCTAATTTATGTTAGTTTAGTCCATTATGACTCCCAAAAAGAAGACCCAGTCTGAATGGATCAAGGTCTGATCTGCATACCTTTTTTTTTTTTCTTTTTTTTTTTTTCTCTACAGCCTTCATTTTACTTAGCTGATGCTTCCCAGTGGTATAGTCCATCCATTCACACTTTATTGTTGTAGGTTACCAGAAGAGCCTTAATTGGAGTTCTGGGCACCACAGGAGACATGCACAATTTTCTTCAGGTTTGCAAAATGTTTTGTTTCTAAATCTCCCATCACCTACAGAATTTGGTCATTTTTTTAAACGCCACATCAATTGAAATAGCCACAGGCAGTGTCACTACTGAAAAGTAAGCGGAAATTTTTATTTCTTATTGCGAGTCGGATACCATAAATATAAAAATCAGTTTCATCACCACAATTCAGCAAGAAAAATCGAAGCAGTATTTCCAAGCCAGGTTGCCTTGCAACTCCTTCCCAAACGAACTCCACTTTTCACAGCAACCCCCTTTCTAAGTACTTGGGATGCACATTGTGTGGAGACAGCGTTACAGCTTCTTGCTAGCAAAAATAGTTCAGAGCTCCCACTTCCACAAATATCTGTGTTTCCTGTTTCCCAGGAGTTCAGCAAATAATTTTTCATGCATGTACTTGGCTATAAAGTTTAAGTCTTATTGACTTGTTATATCAAGTCAATAAATACAGTCTAACTATACATTGCAAATGCTATTGATGGCCTTAAGTGCAATCCCACTCATCAGTCAAAAATCAGACTAAGTTCACTGGGATGCTAATACGTGGTGTAAAAGAGAAGCCATAGAAAAACCTCATTGCAGGTGTCCCCCCAATTCTTTTCCCCTGGAAATAAGAATATATCAACAAAGAGAACTGCAGCAGGGATATAGCTTTGCATTTTTCTTCTGTGACTTACCACTGCTACAGCTTTTGAAAGCAGCAATTCCCCAGCACTGATTGTAGTGAAATAAGCCACGTTTGTTAACACATAGCCAACTGTGACGATAATCATTGAAATGCATATTGCGAGGGGTATGTTTCTGAAATACACAAGGTAGCTCATTATTTTGCAATCTGGTTGCTATTCCCTGAACATGAAACAAATAACATGAGAAGAAGCCACTAATGATGGCGAATGCATATTTAGTGATCCCAAAATATCATGATTAGAAACTACCAATAAAAAAATAACACATCTAAACAAAACCATCTACACAAAGCAAATAGGTTTATAATGAAGACGTGAGAAACCATTTGAGGAAGGGGTCCTTCGGGGATGCCAAGAAATTGTGGTCCCCACACTTCCCATATGAGAAGTATGGCCCATTTGAGCTGCCCACCCATACCGACTTTCAAGCTGAGCCCAACAGGAAGGCAACAGGTATCAATGCTGGAACCAGCAATAAGGCAGATGATAGATGCAGGTGGTTCAGCTCTCCGTCTATCAGCAGAGCAACCACAGCGGCATCTCTAACATACCTACCGGCACTCAATGCCCACCTGGAGCTGGTCCGACATCTTCCCCTGGATGTCAAAATGTCTAGCATGTGTGATTCTGCCCTCTCCTCCTCTGTGCAACTCTTCCCTCACACGCTCTACCACATCCCAATTATCTTGCTCACCATGCAGGGATACACGACGGCAGAAAATGACACAGAAACAGGTACAACATAAATTTTTGCTGTTAGCACAGCACAAATAGTACTGAACGGTACAAAACCTCTGACATCTTAGCTAGAAGGCAGAACAATTATACACAAGTAAATAATAACGCCGAACTTTTACATAGTATGTCCTCCCAGTCAGCAAAGGAGAACAGCAGAATTATTTCTATTAAAGAAGAGGAACAGAGGTACAGTGAATTTATCCAAGCAACACTGCAGGCAAACGTTCGAGTTAGGAACAAAAACCAAATGTTATTTCAGTGTCTTTCCACTTGTTATCATTGCTATCTGCATCACACCAAGAAGAGACTCAGATCTGAAACCAACGTTTGGTCCTTTAATTCCAGGGCCAAGAGTTGCAGTTGGAAAGATGCAGTATGCTCCCTCTGAGGAGAGCTGAGAGCTCCTGCTTCATGGCTGGTTCCCTCCAGCTGTCTATATTAAGATTGTTTTTGAAGAGATGCAAAGATTGCCACATTTAGAGAACTTTGTTGCGAAGGTTGCTCCATCTGGTGGGAGAAAGGTGAGACAGGATGAGTAACTCCGGTCTCCCAGAATAGGCCACAAGCACAGTCCTAAAGGACTACTATAAGTACCTTAAAGGAAAGGGTGTTTTGAAAAGAAACACAAAGATTCAACTTTTTCTGTTTGGTTTTTTTCTTTTTTCCCCCTCAAAGAAACTCAGCTGTGTCAGAATTTCAAGGATCCTCTTCACTACCAGTCCTTATTTCTCAAAAAAATCCGACATCACTATGCCTGTATAGAGCTGAAAAGAAGCTCTAAACTGAGACTAAATAAATAAAGTGGGACAGTATCACGGTCGCACATCTTGCCCACCTTAGAAACCATGGTGTCGAATACCATCATGTACCCATGGACACGGGTAGGAAGGGGAAGGAGGGGAGGCAGTTGGAGGATGTGCTTGTTGATGGAGAAAGCAACGGCAAGGACCAGAGCACACAGCCCAGAATACAAGTGCTGTACTGCTGGAAAGAACACAAAGTTACTGACTCAAGACATACCGCAGAACTGTGTGTGCCTGTGAAAAAAGTGGTTTTGAAGGTCAGTTGCCAGATATTTTGCAACCAGTTTGGTTAAGCTTCTTACCTGACCTGGGTGTAAACTGAATTCAATCCACTTAGCACTTGATTCAAGGTAGGGATACATGATTTCAAAGCCTCTCAGAAAAGAATTTTTAATTGTATCTTCTGCATCACAGATGAATGCTTCAACCACCAAGCTATTGGATAAATCAGCACTCACTCCAGCCTTAAAAGTTTCTAGCCAAAGATAGAAAATTTGTACTATTTTCACAAGTACTATTTGAATGACCAAAACCACATTGTTAAACTTCATAAACTATCATGGTCCATTCTAACTCTTACTAAACACCTGCTTGCTGTTTTCTCTTCTAATCTAAATCCCAGTCTAATTTCCCCTAAAACAAAATAGAAGCTCAAAATTAGGGGGGGGGGGGCAGGAATCATGCTCACAAACATGACTGTTTTCGTAGCCCTGCTGGTCCTGCCTTGTTATGTTGAAGAGCACTAACCTCCTTGGATAGTAATACCACAACACCACAAAAAACCCCCACAACTCAAGTGAAGGATAAAACCCCAAAACCAAGCCAGAACCAGTCAGCAAGCGTTATTCATCAAAAAGCCAGCAGATGATAACTTACACCCGGAGCAGCACAAGGGATGTTGTGACTTCTAAGATTCCGAGTCCTCATCTTCTGAGCGAAGCGAGCGCTCGGGTTGCACCTCCTTTTGTCTCCCGGCAGGAGCCGGCCTTCAGAGGGCTGCTGTACCTTCGCACACAGCCCCTCCGAGTGCTGCTCATTAGCCACTGCTTTCCGTGACAGATTTAGTCAAAAATGAAAGGCCATTTTTAAGATTTCAGGGATGAGTAATACGGTACAGCTCATTTCTCACTGACACCTCAGTTCAGGTTTACACTTGGTCCTCGAGTCATCTGAAAGCACAGACAGACAGGTAGGAACCATATGTAAAACCACTAAGCGAGAGCTTTCATCATGTCTTTTCTATCCATCCAATTTAAGAGGCAGTTCCCAATTTGCAACACGATGCCGCTATCAAACTCTTTGCGATGAGCTACCATCACTGCAGTAGAATAAAAACTGTAATGCTATTAGCATTAAAAATCACCTCCTTTCCTTGGAGGATCACTTTACCAATTTTCTTGTATTTTAGATATTCTCCCAGACTTCCAAATCTTCTCTTCAAATCAGCAAAAAATCACACCTAAATCCTATTCTTTGTTAAATTGCCTCTATCAATGTAGATTTTGCCTTTTCACTTCTGCATCCTATGAATCAAACACAACACAGGGTGTTAGAACACTGATAAGCCGTGTTTCTGATATAATGCAAATACGCAACTGCCACACAGCTAGCTGAAAGATTTGGCCTAGAGGAGTCAGAAAATTCAAGAAAAAAAAGATATTTTTCACTTTAGGACTTCGATTCATTGAATCTAAAATTTTTGATGTGAAACTTGACCACTTCGGTATGACATTTCTCAGCAAAAAAAATCTTAGGACCAAGACAGAAATCTTGTCCAACCAGTAAAGACTTCAAAATGGCCAACAGCTTAAAAAACATAGCATTGTGTGTGCTCAGATACAATATTTTATTTACTTAAAGCAGGCCCAGGACTTGAACTTGCACTGAAGTGGGTACTAGTTACTGTAGGGCAGTGCTCTCCTTTTGCATTTCATCTCAGAGTTAATTCTCAAGAGATTTCAAAATCAAGAAAAACTATTGTCAAGTCAGCTGGGTTTCTAAGTAGACCTTCAGGTGCTGACATTATGATGATTGGGAAGTGTCTCATGTGTTACCGTTAAGACAATACTCAAGCAGGCAGCTCCTTGGGTAGTAGGGGAAGTGGCTGCCAGCAAAGTCTTTTGCAATATTTATCTCTTCTCCCAGAACTTTGAAGAAAAACAGTATCAAAAGGAAAAAAAAAATATCTGAGGAAGCCTGAATCAGGAAAATATTGACAGTATAATTACAAACTCTTTATAAAAACAGATGAGAGACAATTAGGGTAGCTTCTAAGCATCTGAATGTTGATGAAAACTGAATTGAATCTCCACACATTTTGAGATGTACCCACCCCTAGCTACTATTCAAAGCTAAATCTTCCCCTTTTGCCTTATATAAAAAGCAATTATAATGAAGAATCGCAACAGCTTAAAAAAAGAGCACATCTACCTTGTGCTTCTCAAAGTCACTGAGGAGTCTACCATCAGAGCGAATTCAGCATTAGGAATAGAGTTAGTCCATCCTGTGGCTATACAGGGCCGAAATACATTGCCAAGCTATGCTGTATACAGCTTAGAATCAAATTTCCTCCTTCTAGAGCCTGTAAAAGGCCTCGGAGCCAGGGCACAGGGTTCACTTAATCAGGATATCCGCTGGGTTTTAGATTTGACCTTCAGCGTTGCAGAATCATAGATCTTCTGATAATCTGCTCTGGTACTGCAATACCTCCTACAAATATTTTTAGAGAAAAAACACGGAGCTGACCGAGCAAGGGGCAGGGGGAGGGAAGGGAAAAAGGGAAAAAGAAAAAGAAAGCCAAAGTGAGAACCTGGGGATAAGAAGGAACAATGTCACTAAATCAGCTGAGGAACATTCCCAGAAGTCTACAGCTCATGTCCCACCTTAATGACAACTTTTGTAACAACGAACAGTGACCGCTAAGAGCTGTGACTACTGCAGGCCCTTCTTTCTACGAAACGAGAAGTGCACAGTCAAAACGTGCCCCACCGAGTCAGCTGAGTTCACAAGTATGAAACACATTGCCACCACATCCTTTGTTGTTTAGAGGCCGTGCCAAAATAATTTCCTCGCGTCCATTGCAAATACAGGTTTTACAAATGCTCAGTCTGCTCAGACTGCACCAGCGGGACCCAGCCAGGAAACATAAATAAGAAGGTCTAAACAAATCAGTTAATTACTGGCTAAGTTAGGTGAGACAACCACATCTTTACTGTGCTATGGAAATTGTGAAAGATACTTTCTGCTATATTTAAATTATAAAAAAAAAAAAGAAAGAAAAAATGAAAAGAGGAGAGAGGAAAGGTCCTAATTCCTTCACATGGCTTCCAGGCAAGGATTTGCCTGGTTTTCATGAACATGAACCTATATATGCTATATTTCTTGAGTTGAAAATTTACCACCACAGGAGTTTCAAGACCCTTTTCAAAAAATCCCTTGTGCAATAATTTATTCACCATTTGCAATCTGTTAAGCAATTTTCCAAATGAACTGTTTCCAGATTTTGGCACTCTTAAAAAAATCTAATCATCCATCGCACTCTCCACAGGGCCAAAGCTGCGCAGAAGAAGTC